AAGCTTATTGTGAATATCGTTTCTTTGTAAAATAATATTGAATTTATGCTAAAATGCCTCTGGCAAACAATGAATTTTAATCAATGACCAGGTCAAATCAGGCGAATTCAGAACCGAGAGTTCCTAGGTCTGAATCAAAGTCCGGCCACTCGTCTTTCTTCTTTCCGAGACTAATAAATGAGTATCACTCTGAGGGACAGAAACATAAGACTACACAAAATCCTTGTCAAATAGCTGCTGTCGACTCTGCCCTTAAATTAAGGTACGCTTGGCTGATGGTAAAAACATGGAAATCAGCGCCCCATCATTAATTTCATGTACAGAAAGTCACAAAAATGACCACATCACGAAAGTGACCTACAAACTTTCCTTTCGTTTTTCCCTTATCTCTAACCGTCACGAAAAACTGTTTCCTCTGAATAACACGGGAAAAACCCTGGATTCAGCTGATTGCAAAATATGGGATTCTCAACTGATAACTTACCACAGAATTGAAAAAGTTTGAAAAATGTAGATTTTTCCATAAATTTCTAATTAAGCAGATTTTACGTGTTCAAATTTTTTCGGTTCTTTAAATTTCTAATTAACTAGGCATTGTACAACTTTCGGTGTGGCATTTTTTAAAGAAAAATCAAGCATTTCTTCCACGCAACTGATTTAAATCATGACAAAATCTTGCTTCACGTAAACAAAGGTTCACAGTTCATGGACTTGGTTATAATTCTACCCAGTATTTTGCTGCAGCGATTCGAAAGTGTAGTATTAAACTATATAACATCCACATATACCAATATATTGTAATATATACTGTCTGCTATTACAATAATATCATACCCATTTATATTACACTGCATGCATGACGCTATATCAGTTTCAAAAGAAAAAAAGCGATAATAGGCAGGTCACATCGCATAACAAACTGAAGAAAGGAGGATTTGAGCAATGACGAATTGCTACCGAATGGGCTGCAAGCATCCGTTGAAAGGCCTCAGCTCAGATAGGATGATTTGTTAAACGACAGATACCAAAGTTTTTGGTGACAAATCGCTAGAGTCCAAACGAGCGTGGACTTCGAGAAAAAGCAACGATGATCCTTGTTAAAGACTAAGAAGGGTCAGTCAAGAATTTCAGAATTATATGAAATATCGAAACATCTGAATAACTGAACAAGAATGAAAAGCCGTTAACTGTAGGCATTTGCATTCGCGGTCTGACAACATCAAAGCCGTGTTCCTCTCGACCACTTCTGACGCAGTTTTCTGTAAAGTTTAATAACAATGCAACGGTACAACCGTATGATGAATGAATAGATGCTGATGTTCAACGGTCTGAGAAAACTCTCAGCAGAGGGGTTTTGTTTGGCGACAATAAAAAAATGAAAATATGTTCAAAACGTTGCTGTCACGAAACCGCCCTAACTGTAACGTGTTGAAAGTGAGCACAAAACTTTACAACATCTTATGGAGGCAGAATTGCTTGCGGAGAGAAACATCACCTCAATCTCCACCTCAGACACCTGATGCAAACAAAAAAAACAGCACTACAAACTGGCCACAATAATAATCTGAGTAATCCTGTCTTTCAAACTTCCATAGTGTTAAATGACGATTACAGCAACATACAGAAACGAACTGACGCTACAGTGTAAAATAAACAATTAGTGACCTTATATCTCAGCCAGAGACAAGATGATTATATGCGGAGGAAAAATGAAAACGTCTGCCTATTAGTCCAATAAACCGTCTATTATACTGCTACGCTAAGACATTATAACTTATGTCTGATTTTAACAAACCAGCAAAGAGTGTATGTGCTGAAATATCATCTCCAAACAATAGTGTTTTTCAACAGAGACAAAATATAAATGTAAATTCAAAAGAAACAGCTGTGAAACGAATGCAAATAAATACATAAATGAAACCAAGACGATTACAAAATCAACAAGAAAATAGGAGAGGATTTGAGGTTCAAACCACCAGAAGCGAATCTCTATAAAACCTGTCAAAATACTATGCAACTAATTATTAATATCCCGTGCATGTTAATTCCATATTAAATACAACATATACTATTTTATGCAGCCGGCTACAAGGAATCGCTGTTTTCAGATTTAATGGTTAGCAGCATGAAAGATTACAAACACAATCTTCATTTAATAGTGATCTGTGGTTTCTACCGAATGAATATCAACAACAATGAGAAGGTTTCATGCTAACGACTGATGTACATTTAGTCCAAAAGGTACGTGTCTGCAAAATAAACGTTGTTTTCGAAAATTCCTGTCGAAAGATAAATTATAACTTTTCCTGGCTATTTACGATTTTTACATGCAATAATACAGTGTAAATATTTTCACTGATCGAACGTCAATTTTCAAAATGTCAAACAAGGTTTAGTTTACTCATATTTCATGCTATTAACCACTGAATCTAACAACATATCAGATTTCTCTCCCACGTCACAGTACTGACATGAGTTAAAAAAGCTAAAAAACTAGCTGCAAGGAATTAACAAAACCGAAATTCAAATTCAGGATTCACATTCACAAATTTCATCCGTCACTGCCAAAGTCACAACGGTTCTTTGAATTCTCAGAAGAATGAAGCTTCTTGAAGTGAGGACACAAATGCTACAATTCTTGAGACTAGGCTGCGCGATGTCGTTGCTTTATCTACGTTTTCTCGCCTAATTCAATGAGCTCAATGATAGACACTACGGGCGGATAAGACCAACCAATTCATTTGCAAAGAGCACAGTGAAATTCGGTAATATTCTCACAAAAGGAAAATAGCCTATTCACAACAATACAGCGATCTGTATATCAAAGCTTCAAAGAAACTGCAGAAAATTTACGATCTTTCGGTGTAGACTGAAATTTTCATGCGGTCTCCGTTTCCTTTTATCATCTGCTGCAAAATCAATGGGAAGAGATAAGCTTCCATCGTCGAAAGGAACATGATTACTGGCCAATAGCATGCAACAGAAATGAGTTCTTGAAATAAAGGAAATTAAAACCTTAAGCTACGAAGCTGTATTCATAGTCATGTAGTTTACATTATTGGTAGTTGGTGAAACTTCTAAGTTTATTAGCACATTCGTATAAATTCACTGCTAACAATACAAACACCAACCTGATCCCTGAATCCGTGTTTGCCCGTTTCAAACAATTTATCACATTCGTCGATTATCAACCACTGCACGTGACTGATGTCGCACGCTCCAGATTCCATATTTAATAAACTGATCAGTCGGCTGGGGGTGGTGATGAGTACGTCTAGAGAAAAAGCACAAAGTATTTCTGAAAACTAATGGACAAAAGTTAAGGATAAAATAGTTGTCACTAATAGGTGTATAGGAAGGGGAACAGTGGAACAGTAACGTAGCATTAATAGCCCTATATACCCAAGGGTTTGGCTGCTAAGAGCAGACACTACTGACGGCATAAAACAGGTCTCACCGTTTCAAAGGAGTAAGTAAAGGACCGACCAGAAACGGAGAGTGTACTAGTTTGGACTGGTCATGCTGCTCAATATGAACGGCTGTAAGACCGCAGTCTGACAGCTAAGCTTTTGTCAGTAGAAATATCACCTTGAAAATGAAATAACTACCGAATTTTCTTTTGATCCGTTTCATAATCATTTCGGACCTGCGAGCGCTGGTAATCAAATGAGTTCGGATTCCCAAATTTGAGCCGAGTTTCACGAAAACTTGGTAAACATAAAAGCGAAACTCTAAGTAAGCCGTTTGCTTTGATTCGACGCAATTTTACCTGTCGAGCAAGCTCTCTTGTTGGTTCTACGACCAACACGCGAGTCTTTCGATCATCTGGTTTCGCCGCAACTCCTTGCAACAGGTCATGCAGGACGGGAACAACGAAAGCCAACGTTTTTCCTGAACCGGTGGGTGCGCATGCCATCACCTCTCGTCTCTGAATTATAAACATATCCAATAAGCCAAAATTAATCTGTACATCAAAAGATAACTGTCAGGTCATAAATAAAGAGAAATATGAATCAGACTCCAGCTAACTGAAATACCTCAGCTTGTGACCTAAATATAATCGTGAAGCGTGAAATGCTGTGGTTGGGGTATGTAGTCATAATGCCATAGATGAAAATCGCTGACGCTCACGGACTCTCTTCGCAAACGCACATGGAATACGGCCTAATGGCCTTATGAAGGGGCATGTGACTGAAGTGTGGTGAAAGTCTGAAACATACTATATTCGTATTGTTTCACATTTATTTTTCACTAGTAAAGTAGCTGTGCTCAACGAGTTTCTCAACGTTTAATATGCGTTAAGGAACAGGATGGCTTTCGCATCTCTTGCATATGGACGCGGTCATATGACAGAGTCCGCATTCCGTATTGCTCACCAGAACAATATCACCTGCGTACTCCAGGAGAGCAAGACATCTATCTGAATATCTTGAACTGTCTCCTCTCAGAATGAGACCTTTGTCTATGTCAGAGCCAGCACTGTTTTGGAGAAGAAATTCGAGAACAATGTTTAACAACAGAAACGAAAGTATATCCCTCTAGCAAGCTAAACTAAATATAGATATAATGCGATCTGAACCGACGGCCAACATATCTATGCTGTAAACATTCTAAAAACAATCGTCATTCATTGAATGGTTCATTAATCGTATGTTAACTGACCAATGCTGAAGTTTGGATATCTCAAGCTGGTTTGACTTCTATGAAACGTCTTTATAAAATGCACACCTGAAGCATCAGCGGCACCACCTGCATTTGAATGGCCGTGGGAGTCGCGAAATTCAGCCCTTTAACGTTGTTCGCTAACTTTGTAGCCATTTTAGCGTACATTTCTTCGAAAGAACAACAAGGCGACGGACAGTCTGTTCCCCAGACATAAATACGATGCTTTTTTCGCAAAGCCTGAGCCTAAAAATACATTCAGCGACATGATGACAAAAAAGAAATTAACAAAGCAGCGGATTAATTCAAAAGAATTATTTAGGCATCAAAGAAAAAACTTTTTCAGAAAATTTCTCTAATGGTTTTGGGTTTCTGCTAATCAGACAAGATCAGCAAAGGTGAATTTCGTGACAGTGCTAGGACTCTGATATAATCAAGTCATCTGCCTTTCTTTTTACCTCTTGGCCAAGTACAACACGGATATGTGAAAAAAACTCTAACTTGATTACCTGCCATACCATATCAGCTGTAATTTATCAATTTTGAGAAAATGTGGATCAAAGGCGACAAAACCTATGCGTTTATGAATTTTCAGACAAGTAATTACTGCCACACTCAAGTACTCATCCAGAGGATACGGATACGTTTATCCAAGTCTATCTGCCTGCACTTAGTTAAACAGCATTGTTTCGTT